AATACCTGAGTTGGGGCCACCCTACCAGCTCAAAGCTGCTAGCTTTCCAGGCTAAACCCTAAGTCCATACAATGCGCTACTCACATGCGCCGGGAACATGTCTCTCGTCTTTACCCAGAGTATTGGGCCACTGCCACGACAAAGCTCAGCATCCACCAGGGATGCACCCAAACTTCGTTCCGGGAGGCTGGAGATCCCCATTCCCATTTCCTCACTGCCTTTACCTTGAGGGTAACGACATATCGCCAGGTCCAGGTCCAAGGCAGCGAGGGGGGAGGGGGTCCGAGTTTCCCGCCAGGAGTTCTGAATGTAGGATCCGGAGCATTCATACGAACGTCCTTGGCCCAATCCAGCCGAAGGGTAGGCGCCATTGACCCAACTGCTGGTTTACCGAACAAGGCCCGTCAACACGGGGTTTAGAATGTACCTACCCACTGCCTCCACCTTGAAGCTAACTATGTGTTGCACCGTGAAACTTCCGCGAGGGGGGGGGGTCCGTGTGGTTGTCTACAACTCTCCCCAGAGATCGTGACCACTTACGTTTGGCGGCCCCCCCCCTCTTGCGGGGATTATGCTCTCTTCAGCCTGCAGGCAATTATTTAACAGTTCTAAAACAGTTGAGAATTGGTGAACAACGCATTTCTCTGCAAAAATTCTTCTTCCACTAGCCAGATGAGCCGAACGCCAGCTGATAATACAGACACACACACACACACACACAAAGTTGTCAAACCCGGTTGTTGCTTTTTTTCAAAACATCCGTCCGTCTGGTGTATGTGAACAACACTAGCGCCAAACCATGAGTAACATATTTTTTCAAATTGAAGAAAGCCCTGTCTATTTGGCCTCAGTCTAAGCTCTGCGGTTCTGAAAATCATTCATTACTTTTTGGGAATACTTTATATGAAGCCCCTGGGGCATTTTCAAAATAGAGTAAGATGCAATTATAAATATGGCGTAGGCCAAATTTTCACGGTTAACTCAAAATTTTCTAAAATTTTAAAAGTTTGAATTTTTTCGGGGTCTTCCTCCAGCAACCAAATTAAAAATAGAGATTTTTCTTCAAATAAAATTTGTTTTTCATAATTTGTTCTTTCATTAAGGTCATGCACATTTTTTCGAACATTTTACTAGTTTTCGCGCAATATTGCGTGCAATTTATGTAATTTTAAAAAATTACAGAAACAAAAACAAAAATTGTTCCATTTTTTTCTTTAAGCTTTGGTAGACAATTGTGCTGAATGCACTAACATAAACGACATATTACTCTATTTTTTTAAATTACAACAATGTACTTTTTTGACTTGTCTCTCACGTCGTTAATATTTACATTAGCAGCAATTTGTAACATTATTGTCTTTATAAGTACATGTACTTTAAATATTGTCAAATAAAGCTTCTCGAAAACTCAACCGTTCTCTGTCAAAACTAGATCAAAATTTTGCAATTTCAGAAACGCTCAAACGCCATTTTCTCAAAAGCTCCAATTTTGTCTTCAACGTTTTTGAACGGATAGTGCTAATTGCACTCCTTAATATCACGTAAAGTGCATTAGGAGGTATTTTTTTAATTACACAAATGAATTTTTTAAATATTTTTCATACCGTTAATATGCACATTTCTAACAATTTTTAAACACTATTGGATTTGTGAGTTAATGAAGAGTTTCGAAAACTCAAAACGTGTCTGCGAAAAAGTGCTTCAAATTTCGAATATACTGTACCTCTTATGCGCTATTTTTTTTTAATCGGTTCCAAATTTTTCAAAGAAAATAGCCATTTAGGGCGCTGTTCTACTCATCTTTAATATTCTTAAAATAATACTACCATTCGTTTCATCGGGTGGTGTGGAGTTTGGATTTGATTCTTCAGGTTTTCGTATGAGGAATCGTGATGGTTCTAAACACTTTAAGAGATTTTCAAAATATTTTGTAATCTCCTTACAATTATCTTCATTGTTTATTGTCAAATCTCCATTTTCGTTTTTGAAACGTGGGTTCTGTGGTTGATATCCCGCAAGTATAGTTTCAAAAAAATTATAATAGTTCCTCCTATAGTTTTTTTTTGTAAAAGTGATCTTTTTCATATCTTCTTTTAATATGTGTAATTAATTTAGCTGTCTCTCTCCTGGTTATCAAAAATGTCTTATTTTTCTTCTGTTTTAGCACTACCCCAATTAGTATATGCTTGGAGGCATGCTTTGACTAATAGTTCGTACTCCTCATTCCACCAAGAGTGTTCTTTCCGACTGTGCATAGGAATTAGTTAGCGTATTAGTAAACTTACTTCTCAGCTATTGTCAGTCCTTGGATTGAATGTTTTCTAATTCCTCTATAAACGAAGGTGATATTTTGATAACGTAAAATTTTGGGATTGAAAGTTTCTTTTTGATGAATCTTTTAGGCTTCAGCTTATGTTTTATTCTGATCAAGTAGTGATCCAAAACAATGTTTGCACCTTTCCTGACTTGGAGATTCATAATTTATCTGTAGTTTGGAAAGGAGATTGCTACATGGTCAATTTGAAATTCACCAATATATGAATTCGGTGATCTCTATGTCTTTTGTTTGGAAGATTCATTTTTAAAATGTGTTGACACAATTTTGAGATTAAACATTCTGCAAAAATTTACTAATCCATTTCGATTAATCCATTTGTGTGCTTGGTATTCTCCAATTGTCTTCCTGTATTTTCTTTCTTTTTCTAATTGTCCTCGTACAGTAAAATCACGTAAGAGAATTTTCACATGGTTTTGTGGGATTTTAGCAGCTATTTCTTCTAATTTTTTCCCAAGCTTCATTTACTTTTTTTGATCATTTTCATTTTCTTCATTAATTGGCATGTGTGCATTAATAAGGATGTATGTTTGATTTGCGCATTTTAGTGTGAGTATCATTAATCTGTTGTTAACAGGGTTGACATTAGTTATGGAGTTACTGCCATTTCTAAGTTTGGTGAGATTTTATGAATCTGTTTTTCTGTGTTACTCTTTTTAAGAGTGTAAAGTTACCAAAAAGGACTGTGTTTTCATCTAAAATCCGCCTTTCTTTAAGAACGTTTACGTTATTGTCTTATCAAAAACACGCATTCTGACGACACGAACATATTAATTTAATTTCCCTTCATATTTTACTTTAGATTGGAAACTTGTTTAGAAGAATAGCAAGTATCTTAGTCACCGTGTACATAACTGTAGTCGTTGTTTGAATGGTGGCAGCTCCGAACGTGATTCAAACACTTTGTTCCTCGGGCGCATCGAGGCGTCTCCTATCTTTTGTTCAACAATAAACACTGATACTCTAGTTCGGGGGTATCCAAACTACTAGTATTTATGGAATACATTCGACGACGCAAGAGGATAGTTTCGTCATGCCACACGCACAACGCATCGCATACGAGGGGGAGCATTAAATCAGTGGTTGCTGGAAGCTGTTAGGGATATTCACACTGATTAAATGCGACGACAGAAAAGGGTATAATGCGCATTACTTTACAAAACTATTTCTATGTGATCAATTCTAAATCAATGGTAGATTCAATACTAAATACTTTCTACTCTAAAGTTTAGTGGTCTACGCGGATTAGTGAATGAATTGATAAATAGATATTTTTTAATGTGACAAATGGAGAGAAGTATTGAGTGAACACAGAAGGAATAAGAGACAACAGAAAGAGAGAACTCCGAAAGAAAGCTATCGTCTCTTTCGACCACAACTTCTTCATGAAGCGAATGTTTGATCTGAGTGACTAGAATGATAAGGCTCACCGCTAGCCTATGGATTTCCCAGAGAATTTCATCTCTCCCCTCACCGCCTCTTCACTTCTGCCACTTTAGACAGTCTGGCAAACACAAACATAAGAAAGAAAAAATACGAAAAGAAGGAAAGAAAATTAACAAAAATAACAGAAACAAAATAAAGAAAAAAGGAAAAGGGAAGAAAAATATAAAGATTAATAAAGAAAGACACTGAAAATAAAGAAAAGTAATTGATGAAAGAAACAAAAAAAATTATCTAAACGAAAATTAGTGGTTCTCAAACAGCACGCACTTTCCCCCCGTATTTTCACGCAAAATTATGCGAAAAGTACAAAAAAAATTTCCAAACATTGTGTTTGGAACAAACGACCTTTTTTCAAAATCTATCTTTAAGAAATAAATTCCGTTAAGAAAAAATATCCTTCTTTAATGTTTAAGTTGTAGGAAGAAACTTTTGAACTTCTGCAATTTTTAAAATATCAGTGATTTTGCAGAGAACTTGAGACACGTGATGCTCTTAAACCACAAAATTTAATAAAAAACGATGGAGCCAACCATTTCTTTGAAAATTTTCAAATCGTTCCAGGGCCTTCGTGTACTCCCTCAATTAAAATATTCGTTTCAAATTCACGGCGCCGTGACATCATCCAGATTGATTGGGGAATGTCAATTTTGGAGAAAATCGGCTGAACGGTTTAGCCCCTAGCATTGTTCGAAGACGGACAAACAGACAGACAGACAGACAAACAGACAGACAGACAGACAGACAAACAGACAGAGACACAGACATTTGGCTGTCATTTAAACTTTCGATATGAAGGGCCCACAAAACATGGATTCTAGCTACACCGTGTGGTAGAGGATTTATTTTCTAATATAGCAGCTGGATGTATTTTCTTTTTAGTTACCAGCGTCCTGAAAAGAAAGTCTTCTGCGGAAAGTTCGCCTTTTTCTCGCGCAGCATTACATAACTTTCTCTCTACTCCGTAGAGAGATGCAAAAAAAAGAAAGAAAGAAAGAAAGAAAGAAAGGGACTGAAAATGAAAAAAGTAAAAGATAGAAGAAACTAAACAAGAGATCAAAGGGTGGGGAAATTTAAAAAGAGCTGCCCTTTCGGCATTCCAGGGAAAGAGGGATTAACGGGTCTGATGGACTGTGCTGGCGCCGGGGTTTGGCGCGCCCTGGGCGAAGAGGGGCGCGGGGCATAAGAGGCGGCGCGGGCGGCGGCGCGCGCGAGAGGCGGGATGGGCGCGCTCGGGGCACGAGGGCTGCTGCTGCTGCTGCTGGTGGTGGCGGTGGGGGCGGGGGCGTCGCGCCTCCGCGTGGCCACGGGCCGAGGCGCCGGCTGCCGCTGGCGCGCGTCGCTGGAGGAGGGCCGCGGCGCGCGCGTCGAGATCTGCGCCGACTCCCTGGCGCTCGCGCTCTCAGGTCAGCCTCCTCCTTCCTCTTCTCTTCTCTTCGTCTACTCCTATCTATAGCATTATTATTATCATTTGCGCATCGGCCATTCCTGACCATGCTACACGATTAACGTGTGTAACTATTAGGATCAGCTTTTCAGCTAAATCCCTCGGTAAGACAAAGTTGTTACGCCTTGAATTGTGAATTAAGAGATGATAGAATAATGGTGAGACGTCATTGTGATATTTTTAAACCATCCCAGTACTCGCCTGTATGAATGAGGGAAGCCACGAAAAACCCCGGTCAGGATGGCTGGCCCTGGGATTGAAGCCAGGCCTCTTGACTGCGAAGCCAGCGCACTACGCACTGAGGCTCTCAACTCGGTTTTTTATTGATATTATTTTCTTTTTTCTCGGTGGTTCTCACCGAGGTTCCAGTTTTGAGGGGATTTTAGGCATACCACATTCCTAGATTTTCTTATTTAGAATCGTCGGAACAATTCGACATGTTTCTAGAATCACTGACTTTTCAGCCTTAATTTTTTCAAATAATACTTCAGATTTTTATTTAGTTATGACAAGTGATATAATTTTAACAGGCTCTGGTTTGTATATTTCACTATATTCTACTGAAAGGATAATGTACTTTGATATTTTTTCCACTTCTGCTACATTGACGTTGTGATCTCCAGGGTGTGTTAGATCAATGATGAATGCTTTCTTTTCCTGAACAACATGTAATATAATGTCTGGTTTATTTGCCTGAATCGTGCAATCAGTATGTATAGGAAGGGCATACATTTTGAGCTGATTACCTTCTAGGATAGGTTTTGTTTTGTATTTTTAATAAGTGGTGATTTTCTTTTCTGCCAGTAGCCCATGTTTGGTTGTTTGGGCATACTGTACAACATGTACAGTCAGGTTGTGCTAGTGTAGATACTCTGAGTGGGCGAGATTTGTGCACCCAGTAATGACGTGGTCTATTGGCGCCGATATTTTATGACGTACTCTACATTCGGCATTATCATCTAATTTTCATTACATCATTTATATTATTATTATTATTATTATTATTTTATTCACAGCTTTCTGGACTTACAGAAGTCATACACATACAGTTCAGAACACGAACAGAAAATACTTATGAATTAATGAATATAAAATGTACGGTAACTACAAAGCATACAATATATTTATAATAATTTATATCTTTAACAATCAATTTTGGTCTATTATTATTATTATTATTATTATTATTATTATAAACGCTTTTCAGAGTCTTTCTCAAAAACTTAAACTTGCAACACGCTATTCATATAAGAAGATTATGTAAAAAGAATTTCTTCCTTAGATGTGCGTAACAGAACGTAGCAAGGCGATGTTATTCATCCTAATATCTACTTGTCAAGGTCTGTTCGAAATATTCAGATAGTAAATTCTCGGAAGGAAATAATGTTCGCCTTCCAATGTATTGAGAACAAACATTGCCTCCCATAACAACATGTGATGTCGAAGTATAATTTTCTACGTACAAACTTGTCGTGTTCGATAGGTGACATTCCCTAACAACAGATATCCTTAACAAAATTCGAGTGGCTTTCTGTGATCTTAATGCACAATTAAATGTGCAGACGTAGATACTAATATGTTCTTAATTTGCATATTCTCTCTGTGTGACTGGCGAAAATATGTAATGTTGTAAAATCAGTTTTCTTTAATCAAACGCTGCATATCTTTACAATTTCTGTGACATATTTGCATGCATATTTCAGAGCTAAATGCTTGCATAAATTCCTCAGCTCTAATGATTTCGTATTTCAAATGAATTTACATTTCAGAACATCCACGTCCCGCTGCTAGTCAACTGAAGTGTCCTCCAACTTCCCACAAGGTCCCGAGCGCCAGTGCTACTGACGCAACTGAAGCGCGTAAACCGACCCCCGTGGTACCTTACCCTGCGTATGAATGGTTACCGTCTGGAGGCTTCTACAAGGTACGGCAACTGTTCAATAGTTTCAAAAAGCATTGAGATCTGCGATGAAAAATCAAATAGATAAGACCATTTAGTAGACAATTTCTGAATAGGCTTTACTCAAATATAAAATATTTACACTATAATCCTGTTTTAATTATTCACACATTTAAAATGGTTGGATCTTCGTACAAAAGCTGCATACAAACAAATTCTAATATCGATTATTTTATCAATTCAATGTTTCGACTCTGGAATAGAGTGGTCAGGAATAGAAGTTTCAATGTATTCATTAGAAGGGAATACTAACAAAATTTTTCGACATAAGCACAAATGTTTATACATGTGTACTGTGAAAATGGCCGTTTCTGCAGATGGTCGCTTAATGTAATTTATGCTAATCTAGGAAGTATATATTAGTCTAATTATGCTTTTTATAATAAAGTTAAATATATCCTAAGTACATAATCACGTGTGAACACGCTTTTATTTTCGTTAAGTTAAGCTACAAAATACTGGAAGCTTCTTTCCACGGAGACACGCAAACTCATTCAAAGCAAACGGTTCGACGGTTTCTGTCGCTCTATGCACACTCGTCAAACGCCACTCGGTGGCATGGTCATACACGCCTCATACTCATTAAGACACCAAACCAATTACTTCCTCGCTACGGAGTAAGGAGAAACTTGTGTGATGCTGCGCGTAAAAACGGCAAATTTCTGTCAAAACCTGTTTTTACAGGATCCTGGTAACGAAAAAGTTAATAAACCCAGTTGCTAAATTTAGAAATAAATATCCTCTACCTCGTGAATCCATGTTGTGTGGGTCCTTGATACTGATAATTGAATGACGGTAAAACAAGATTATGTCTGTCCGTCTGTGAACAATGCTAGCGGCTACATCATTCAGCCGATTTTCTTCAAAATTGATATTCCCCTCTCGGTCTGGCTGATATCGTGACCCCTTGAATTCGAAACCGATCATTTAATTTTTTGGGAGGGGGTACTTTAGATGCAGCCCTGAGACATTTTCCAAAGTTTCAAAAATATAGCTCTGTTTTGGATTAGATTTTGTTGTTGAAAAGTGTGAAGGACATTTATGAGAATGGTGCATAATCGTTGAAAATCCTGATATTTTGAAAATTGCAAAACGTTTTTCGGCGTCTTTCTACAACTGAAATAAAATCGAGATTTTTCCCTTAACGAAATACGATCCTTAAAGATAGATTTTGAAATAAGATCATGTACAATGTTTGGAAAATCTGCGTACTTTTCTCGTAATGTTGCGTGGAAGCACGGGCGAGCACGTCCCGCCGCTCTAGTCTCCCCGTGAAGAGATTCGCGGGAGAGGCTGCGTTGAGTGGCCCTGCGCCTGTGCCGTGCGCAGGTGCACGAGGAGAAGGTGCCGTGGCGGGAGGCGCGCGCGGCGTGCGAGGCAGAGGGGGCGCACCTGGTGGTGATCAACTCCAAGGCGGAGGCGGAGGCGCTCAGGGGCGTCCTGCAGGAGAAGTTGGCGACGGACGAGGAGCCCGAGTACGTTGTCCACGCGGGCTTCTACGCCGACCTGGTCACTGTCACAGGTGCGTACTCGCACAACACTTGTACACTGCTGGTAATGGTCTCTTAAGACAATTCGTTTCTTCAAATACTTCATTTCATAACAATTCCTTCTCGTAAATCTTCCGCCTAACTTTTTCTTAGTTTCAACGTCGTTTCGAGAGCTTTTGCGGGCCCATCTTCAGGGCGAATGGAATAATACAGTTCATTTTAATTCCTAAATATATAACATTAACCTCAATTGAGTTCGAGATAATTAACATATAAACACAAACATACTGTTTTTTCAAATAACATGTTTTTAATATCCAACAGAAGATCTCTCTATATTGTGGCGTCGTTAACACGA